TTTTTTTGAGATGGAGTCTCACTCTGTCACCCAGGCTGGAGTACAATAGTGCGATCTCAGCTCACTGCAACCTTTGCCTCCCAGGTTTAAGTGATTCTCCTGTTTCAGTCTCCCGAGTAGCTGGGATTACAGGTGCCCACCATCATGCCCAGCCCATTTTTGTATTTTTAGTAGAGGCAGGGTTTCACCATGTTGGCCAGGCTGGTCTCGAACTCTTGACCTCAGGTAATCCGCCGACCTCAGCCTCCCAAAGTGCTAGGATTACAGGTGTGAGTCACCATGCCTGGTCTAGGTTCAGGCTTTATAACTGTTAAAGTACAACAAACATATTTGGCAGTGGAGGCAAAGGTATGGGAAGAAGAGGTAATCTCCTCCTCTATTAGATCATATATCACTAAATACGTGGAGTAATTACATACTAACAAAGGCAAATTGCTATAATTTTTTTGGTAAAAATAGAACTTATAAAATTAAACACTATAAAATATTACATTAAATATAATGTATAAATATACAATCTTAAATTCCCCTTATTCTGAGTATGTGAAGAAAATCAGAGAAATAATTGTGTTATGTATTAAAAACTTGTGACTATACAACTTATAGCTCTGATGGAATCAAAGCATGTTTTACATACACATACACTTTTATGAATTCAAAACTTTCCGGCTTGTTCTGCATTTTAAATTCATTCAGATTTGGAGTATCTTTTGTATTACTTCCTCCTGGACTTCGGTATTTATATTTAGTGCAGATATGCCAGCTATACAGGTTATGATTTTGCTTCCCTGGAAGCCTTTTAGTCAACTTAAGAGTCCTCATCAACTTCAATTGATGGTCCATAAAGACTGTGAACAGATCTTAGGTCACTGTGTTCATTTATACTTTAGAAAAAGCATTGTAAGACTGACTGGGAGCTGATCTAAGTTAAAAACGTGCATCAATGAATACTTTTTGTTTACTTGCATACTCACTCTCAACTCACCATCATCAAGTTGATCTACTCTCATTAGGAACACAAGAACCTAAAAAACTAATCCCACATTCAGTTTTGGCTTCGTGTTAATTATTCACATAAGAAGGGGAAGATTGCTTTCTGTTCTTGTTGGGAAAGAAGGAGGGTAGTAGTAAGAAGCACTTTGGAGATAAAATACTTTGCACTTAAGGTGGTTCAGACATGAAGAGAGGGAGTAAGTTAAGCATAACACCAAGATTTCTGATTTACATAACAAATTGTGGTGCCATTCTCTGAGATATGGAAGAGGAGCTGGGGCAGTAGGTGCATGGCTATGACTATGAATTCCTCTAAGATAGTAAAAAGGAATAGCAAATAGACAAATGGGCTATACAGTCAAATTCAGAGGAAAGGTCTAGGTTAGAAATAAAATTTCATGACCAATCTGCACCTAGGTGAAAATGAATCTGTGAGTACATATGATATTACCTAGAGAGTATAGAAAAAGAAAAGAGGGCCCAAGACTGAGCCTTAAAGAAGTCCAACATTCAGTATCTTGGTGAAAGGAAATCAGCCTGAAAATATGGACAAGGAGTGTCCAGAAGAGGGAGAAACCATGGAAGTGTTATGTCATGGAAGCCAAAGCAAAATAACATCTCAAAGACTCACTATTTTTTTAATACTATGGATGAGCACCAAGTGAAACAGGAAAAAACAAACAAACAAACAAAAAACAGAAAAGACCAGCTCCAAAAATCTGAGTACATAAAATGGATGACAATAAATTACAAAGGTTGAGGATCCCTAACCCAAATCCAAATCTTAAATACTCTGAAATTTGAAATATTTTGAGTGCTGACATGAAGCCACAAATGGAAAATTCCACGTCTTATATTTCAGATTTCAGATTAGGAATGCTAAACCTGTACAGGTATTCTGGTGATGTGCTTAAGTACCCTGAACACATTATTTTTTCACTGTATTAATGGTATGTCTTTTTTTTTTTAATTTATTTTTTCCTGTTAAGCGCTTATGTGTGAATAAGTGTAAGAAAATGATTGCTTACTAGTAGCACATAAATTCAGAGTTAGGAATGATGGTAATGCCAAACAACCACAAATTTTCCATAAGGGTGGCTGAGATAGTGACACTTTTGCCTGCTGATGGTTCCAGGTACAAAAACTTTTGTGCACTAATTATATAAAATTACCTTCCGGCTATGTGTATAAGTTGAACATGAAACACAAATTTCATGTTCAGACGGGTCCCATCCCCAATATGTCTTATTATGTATATGCAAACATTCCAAAATCCCAAGAAATCTGAAACACTTCCGGTCTCAAGCATTTCAGGTAAGGACTACCCAACCTGTACTTTCTATGTAGGCGTATACTTATCATAAAATGCTTTAAAACCATTTAATATAGTTGAATCCAACCCTTGAAAGCCAGTTTCTGACCCTGCTCTAAGGGCAATATTGTAATGCTTTAAAAGCTCAAGATTTCCTATTAAGATAACACAGAGAACTAATAGCTATATGTTAAGTAGATTATTTCAACTGTTCTCTTAAGTGCTACATTATTACCAAGAACTAGGATTCCTAACTTGACAGCTATCAAACTAAAGAAAACTATCACATTTTATATCTCCAAAGTAGTTTTGAAGTCATGACCACATCTTTTCCTCCAAGGATAACAGTTTTATTTCCACTCATTTAACCAAGTCTTTTTTTAATCTTGTGTCTTTAACCTAGGGAATGTCTGTGAACCCTGTAGATTCCAGGCAAATTTTATACATATGTATATTTTTCTGGGGAGAATTTTTATTGCTTCATATTCTCAAAAGGCATCCATGATCAAAAAAGTTAAGACTTAATATACAGCAATTTACACGTGGCTATACCGACCTACTTACGCTATCCCGTCAGACACTTTCTCCCTAATAATTTGTTCTTAGAACTTAAAAATTGGCTTAGTAGTACAGCTAACTGAAAATCACTAAGCAATGCCCCAAAGCCATTTTAGCTATTTGTTTCTATCAACCTCTCTCCATGATATATTTCTAAATAATAATTTAAAGGTCAGAACTTCACCTGTCTCACTATCTCTCCACTCCCCTTTATAATGAAATGCAGGCAGCTGACTATACCTAGTTACAAAACTGGGTATTCTGAATGATCAAGAACTGGCTGTGTCTCCAACCGAAGTGAATAGACAGACCCAGGCAATCACTCCAGTCTACTACTCAAGAGATTAGAAAGTACGTAATATTTAAGTCATCTGGCTCAATTCTATTCACTTCTTTTAATTCTCTTAGTGCAGGAAAAAGGCACGAATTCCCTCTTCAGAAACCTGGAACAAGCCTGCGCGCTACGTAGATTACGAACGGCCACAAAACAGTGTTAAAGCATTCATCAGCTCAGTCTGTAACTGAAAATGGTTTCTCAAACACCTTCGTACGGTAGAACGGCTGCTGCTGGGTGTTTCGCCTTGACCTTCTTTAAGCAAGAAGCAATAAGAGGGTCACAGGGCACAAGTTAAAGCTGCAAAGGGGCAGAATCAAAGTGCCTTATCCGCTGCCAGGGCCAATTTTATTTTTTTAAAACTTAACTTCCTCCCCTCTGTATCGCAGACCTCAAGTTTTTCTTTCCCTGCTATCGTCAGCGAGGATTACGTCTCAGATTCTTCGGTCACGGCATGACACTTGAGCGATGTGACAAGATGCCGTCAGCGAATATTTCACGCCAACATAAAGTTGTGGGAGAAATGCTGTATTTGGGTGGGAAATGAGCTGCCCCAGTAATAAAGCCAGTAGGTGTCCTTCTTCTGAGCCTCAGTTTCCCCGACAGTGTGACAAGAGGGCCTGGCAGGGCTGGTCTGGAAGTTCTTCCCTTTCTCGGGGGTGTCCTCCCCGCGGGCCGAGCCCCGCCCTACAGCACCCACCACACCTGTGGCCGAGGGCTCGGCGCCTCCAGTGAGGACGCAGGTGGGGCCCAACCCCGCCCTCCTGGACCGGGCCACCCTCACCTCCTGCCACCATCTTTACCTGTCCTCGTTAGCAGGGGACACGCTGCGACGAGATGACCAAAAGGTCCGTCGCCCCCGCTGTCCCGGGCAAGTTCATGGTCCAGCCTCCGCCTTGGGCTGACCCAGTCCGCCTCCGCCTCTGCCGCCAACGTCTCCGCCTTCCGGGCCGTACGCCGCCGCCACGTCCGCAAACCTGAGGTGCGTCATCGCGTCAAGTGGGCGGAGGTGGGAAGGGGAGGGGGAGGAGGCGGAGGGCAAGCCCAGAACGGGGGAGTCCAACCACAGGTCCACGCCCAGCACGCAGGCGCAGGGACTCCGCAGGGGCCCGGGGGCAGGTCCAATCACCGGGTCCAATCCCCAGCCCTGCCCTTAACTCCTCTCCTCCTTCCCCGTCACCTCACTCCCAGCGGAAAAGATCTGGTGGTCAAGTCAGCAGACCGAACCCGCCACTTCCAGCGACCTACTGGCTGCGTCTTTGTCCAGCGACCACACGGAGCTGGCAGAGACTGTCGGAGGCACACGGAGGACGAGCCGTGGCTCAGGATGTGTCCGGGAGCTGTCTTGCATTTTTTTCTTGCTGTGCATCTCGAATTTTCTTTAGGGTGGGGAAGGACACCTCAAAACCACTGTTGACATCACAGTTTCAGAAAATTGCACCATGCTTGTTACCCTTTTCATGCTGAAGACTCCAGACTGTTGCAGAAGCAGCAAAATACTGGAGAGAAACCCTTGGGGGACCAAGGACGAGGGTTGGAGGGGGGTTGTTTCAACTTTTGTGTTTTTAGGTGAGGAAAGTGAGCCACCTAGAGTCAGGCCCCAGGAAATGTTTTCCCTGGCTGGAGGTGTCAAGGGAGTCAACAAATTGTAATCTAACTTATTTTGGTTTGAAAATTAACTGAGTCATTGGTAGTCACCATTGGACTCTATGAGATGTTAGCTTGTTCAACAACAAACTCATGACTTCATACATGATTTTTATCACAAATATATTAAATGAGTATGATAATGTGTTTGAATTTACGTATTTGAATAGCAAAACCCGCAATTAATTTTGCACCAACCTAATAAATGTAAAGCATTTTAATGAGTCTGATGTCTCTCAGTGTTGACATTAGAGATGTTGCACTTTGACGACCATGGTAACTGTTACGACAATACCCATTTTAGGCACAAATAGCTGGGGTGCACGGTGCACAGTAGTGCTTTTCAGAATGTCTGAATATTTATACATTAGAAAGCCTTTGAAGCTTGGTTTTAAATTGTTTTTCAAAGGGTATGTTTTTGGTTTTCTGGTAAGTGCCTCTGCAAAGGTTAGGAGTTTTGCATTGCAATAGTTTTCTTTTATTTGCAGGGATAGGAACTGTGCTCCCCAGCGCCACAAAAAGAACTGCAGGAGAAGACGACTTTTGAAAAAAGATTGTCTGAGTTGTTCTGTGTGTTGTTGCCCTCATGACATCCCTGTCTGTAACCATTTATCACTGAGACATTCTCTGATCAGCAGACAAAGGATATATTCCCTACTTGATATGTAGGACTTCGGCTGCTTAGCCCTCATGAATGTTAATGGGAATACAACCTTCTTTCTGTCTATAGGTTATTTTTCTTATTTTAATGTCAACAGACAGCGGAATTAATGTGAGAGTCAAAGTGATAGATTTCAAGCACTTCTATAGGACCAATACCTGTATCCTTCATATAAACAACTTTCTCAAAGATATCTGCAAGCTCTTGAATCGTTATTTGTATTTAACAAGGATGCAAATATTAAGCTTTTTATAAAAATGCAAGAATAGGGTTATATTTTATTATTAGAATACACAAAAGAAGCGGTGAGCGTGAATTTTGGCCAAGTTCCAGAAAGCTGGCCAGTAGGAACAAGCATTTTGTCTTTAAGAAAAAGGATGTCCCCAGTGCTCAGCAGAGCCAAAAGGATTTTTAGTGCTTCAAGATCTCATCTGACACAGTTTCTGTTAAAAGGCTATAGATGAAATAATATGTAATTTCTAGGAATATGTTTTAGTCACTAACGTTTAGTTTTTGTAAGTTGCCCCAGAATAGAAGTTGTACTGAAGTGAGAGTGTAAATTGATGCATCCTGTTAGGCAGTATGTATCAAAATTAGAAATGCAATTGACTGAACTATTACATTGCTAAGTAATTACCTTAGATTTACTTACAGATACACATGTGTAAGATTTAACAGATAGGTTCAGGAATGTTTGCACAGCAATAGCCAAAATCTAAAAACATTCTAAATGTTTATCAGTAGTTGACTGATACTTCTGGTACATTAAAACAATATAATGTTATACTTGGGTTCAAAAGAGTGAAGTTAATCTGGCATTTGCTGATTTATTCATTCATTTACCTAAGAAGTTTTTGTTGAAGAAAAACAGTGCTTAAAAAGACAAATTCCACTTACTTGTGGAGCTTGAATGACTGAAGCATATAGAACTTTAAAATGTTTTTAGTCTATTTTCAGAAGAAAAGATAGGACAGGAAGTATGATGTTATTTCTATGGAACAAAATTTTAAATAAGCATCTCCCATCCTACCCCCCGTACCCTGCCGACACACACACACACACACACACACACACACACACACACACCCCACACACATACATGCAGAGAGATGCATTTAGTTTTTCCATTTGGAAAGTTACTCAAGGAATTTTAACAGTGGCTGAAAAGGACTAGACATGGCAGGGGAATAGGCAGGAGATTTTGCCTTTTCCTTAGAACTTTCTATATAGATTGAATTTTTATTAGTACATGCTTTTATTATTATATTAAGAATTAACACATTTTATTTTTAAGTAACTGGACTTGTTTATCTGGAGCTAACCTATAATTAACCATCCATCTCTTAGTCATTCCTGAGTCTGTTTGTACTTTGTATTCAAGTAGCAAATGTTTGGAGAAAAGAACCAGATCAATTCTCTCATAAATCAAAAAATGAAAGGGTAACAAAACATTGATTTCTTTTTACATGTCTTCTTGATTTTCCTCTTTCTGATTTCTTTCAACCCTACTCTTTTACTCTCTCCTCCTTCCTATTATTCCTATTTCTATCCTCTTAGCAGCCTTTTCTGTCCAGTTTCTACTTTTCAGAAGCAGAACTAGAAAGAACTGTTGGACAATAAGGAAATACTGTAAGTAATGTGAAATGAAGTTAAAATTGGATTATGGAGTGAAACTTTTAAAAAACAAACAAACAAAAACCTCCTACATCTCTGATCTTCAAATAACCTATGTAGAGAGAAAATTATTGTGTCTTTTCTCTCGAAGTCTTGGAAAAAACCAGACTGGATGATTTGGATATGTTCCGCTGCATATGTACCACGTGACCTCTCTAGCTGCCTTTAATCCTGTGATTTTTAAACATAGTGATTATTGTAATCATGGCTTTGCCATAATGTGGATAAAAGAAGAGTCACGTATGCTTCAGGAATCCAAAGCTGTTTATAAATGCTAGTAATTAATTCATGGATCCTAAACATGACTTGAAAACAATCATCTTCACATCTTCATCCATGCAGACACGATGAAAACTAGCCTCACAAATACTATCCTTACACTCTTTAGCTAGGTGGTTGGTACACATAGAAAGGAACAGTTACATATTTACATTTAAGTAGACTGTAATTTGAAATGCTTTGTTTCCCATGGTCTTTATAATCACTACTGTCACATAGATCAGTGCAGGTGAATTCCCCCGGAACCTTCATCCTGCTTGTTTCTGTGCCTACTTCTTCAGAGATTTAAGATGATAAGACAGAACGTAATTAAGTTCACTAAATCAAAGGAAAACCTGAGGCATGACCCAGTCTATGGAATTGGGTAATGGTAGATAGTGATAACCCAGAAGTGGAGAGCAAGTCAAAATGGAGTACAGAGAGTAGACATCCAGTTTGATTTCTTAGGTCTTCAGCACTGCATTCACAGAGACAGGAAAGCTAGCGAGTGGGGACGAATAAAAAGAATGGAAGAGGCAACAGCATCTTCTCTTTCTAGTCTAGGCCTTTCCAGATAGAGACCACTTCTGTGACCATCCTCAGCTTAGTCAACACTGACAAAACCAAAAAAGAATTTCAAAAGCAAAACTTCCGTGCTCAAAAAATAATAATAGTGAGGTGTATATGCATACCTAAAATGAAGGTAGTTGCTTATCTGACAAAATATAGACAGAAATTACATCTATCCATTCAACAAATGTTAATTAAGCAGCAACTGTGTTTCAAATCCTGCTTTAATAAAGCACTAGGGACATGGAATGAACAAACCCAAATCTTTGCCCACGTGGAGCGTATATTCTTGTGATGAAAGATAAATAAATGAAATTGTGTTAGATGGTGGTAAGTGAATGGAGGAACACTCAATAGGGTAGGAACTGCAGTGTTTTGGGTTGGGGGAGAGTCTCCACCCTAAGAAAATTCTCTCTCCCTGAGAAAGGAGCTGTGCCTGGAGTATTGGAGGAACAACAAAGATACCAGCATGGCTGGAGCAGATTGCCGAAGGAGGGAGCCTTAGGAGAAGAGGTCAGATGGAGCCAAATGGGATAGGACTCTATCGGCCATTGCAAGGACTTGAGCTTTCACCCTGAGCAAGACGGGAAACCACTGGAGGGTTCTGAGCAGAGGAGGTCATCATCTACCTTTTAAAAGGATCCCATAGGAAAGTGAGGGCAGCAGCAGGGAGATCAGTTAGGAGGAAATTGTAGTAATTCAGGCAAGAGGGAAGATGTCTCAAATTAGAGAAAAACATCAAATATCACATTGATGTGGATTAAAAATACTTAAGAATTTTTTTTCAAAGCCCCCGACTCTATGAGGATGCTCAATTTTAAAGATATTTTTCACTAGTTCCTTCTTGCATACTTTGATTAATGACTCTATACTGGGGCCTCTTTTCCCCATTAATTCTAAATAAGCCAGATTTACCACTGTAGCAATTGTTGGATCTAAGTAAAGTTTCCATTCCGCCCTCTCACCATGTTTTCTTTTATTTACAGTTAAGATTGAGCTGAATTTTTTTCCCCTTCTTCCAAGCCTTAATCCTATCTGGCTTCTAAATCCCTTCAGAATTATTTGAAGCAAAGAATGCCTGCTGATTTCAAAGAAGATTTTACACTTGGACTTACTTGGTGGGGTATATA